TTTTGTCGTAGGGCAAAAGATCGGCTTGTTCATCTAACGTAAGGTTTGAGCTTATCCCTTCTACATTGCCTTGCTCAAAACATTTCAATTCTATTGCATTTAGTTTACGTATTACTTCGTTTTTCCGTCTCATTCGTACGCATAAAATAGTAATTGAAATCGTCGAAACCAAAATAAATGCGACAACACCAACGATAATATAAACCAATCCATTATTGTGCTTAGTATTGATCTCGGCGCCGTGTTTGATGAGAATTGATGCGACTTCCGCATGATCTGGAATGTGACGAATCAAAATAAATGGATTGTTAGAATTGTGAATCGAGACTTTTGACAATCACCATTTGTCTTAGCTATATCATATGGCGTGAATCCATTTTTGTTTCTAGCTGTGACGTCGGCTCCATGTTTGATTAGAAATTCAGTCATATTTACATGACCTGCAATGTGATCGAATCAAAATAAAACAATTGTTCGTTATCTATAAAATTAGATTACAGGAAATCACCGGATGCTGCAGCTAAATGAAGTGGCATATTTTCTTCTTCAGTTATGGCGCTGGTGTCAACACCATGATTGATAAGGATTTCTGCAACTTCCATGAAACCTGAAATGTAAACAATTCAAAAGATTTTCTTTATTTTAACGCACATGGTCAAAAATAAAAGTCCACATTTAGGCGGAATTTCGACTGGTAGAGGCGCCCAGTCTTATATTTTGCCTAGCAGATGGAGTTTCAGACGAAATTCCAACTAGTTTATAAGCGGAATTTTGCCTGTAGCTCAAATTACTAGTAGAAATATCGGCTGAATGCGTCTTTAGCTTAAAAAAAACGCCCAGATGTAGACTTTTATTTTTTACTGTGCAAAAGTCTAGAAATTCACCATTTTGCGCAGCCATATGAATTGGTATCCAATTTTTGATGTCGGTAGCATTGACGTCTGCACCATGTTCGATGAGGAATTCTGTCATGATTGCATGACCTACAGTGGGACCGAATCAAAACCAGAAGTTAGTTTGTATTCTGAATTGAGAGTTTAGACACTTACCCATCAGTGCAGCTATATGAAGTGGCATTATTCCCTCTTTAGCTTTGGCACCGATGTCAGCACCATGATTGATAAGGATTTCTGCTACTTCCACGGAACCTGAAATGTGAAAATATCAAAAGATTGTCTTTATTTTAACACAAAAGTCTAGAAATTTACCATTTTGCGCAGCCATATGAATTGGCATCAAATTATTGATCCCGGTAGCATTGACATCTGCACCGTGTTCGATGAGGAATTTAGTCATATTTACATGACCTACAATGTGTAATCGAATCAAGATCAAAAGTTAGCTTGTGTTCTTAAGTGAGAGTTCAGACCCTTACCATTCTCTGCAGCTATATGAAGTGGAATATGCTCTTCTTTAGTTTTAGCACCATGGTTGATAAGGATTTCTGCTACTTCTACATGACCTGAAATGTGAACAAATCAAAAGATTGTCTTTGATTCAACACGAAAGTCTAGAAATATACCATTTTGCGTGGCTATATGAAGTGGCATCCAATTATCGATTTCGATACCGTTGACGTCTGCACCATGTTCAATGAGGATTTTAGTCATATTTGCATGACCTGCAGTGTGGCGAAATCAAAACCAGAAGTTAGTTTGTATTCTGAAGTGATAGTTTCGGCGCTTTTACTGACCGGGTTTTATTCAAATACGACAGGTTTTAGCGCTCCTGGAGCACACTTTACCAAGCTGTCATCGATATCGATTGTTTGCGAACCGTTCAGTTTAACTTGACACGTTCAGTTTGCGTTTTTTCGATGACAGCGGCACTGAAACTCGTCGTATTTGACATTACTATATGAAACATGTCAAAGAAATCCCGGTCGGCACTTACCATTCCGTGCAGCTAGATAAAGTGGTATAATTCCATCTTTAGTTTTAGCATTGACGCTGGCACCATGCTTGATGAGGATTTCTGCTACTTTTACATGACCTGAAATGTTATTAGATCCAAAGATTTTCTTTATTTTAACCTTAACTTTAACGCAAATCTTAGAAATTTACCTTCTTGCGCGGTTATATGAAGTGGCATCCAATTATCGATTTCGGTAGCATTGACGTCTGCACCATGTTCGATGAGGAATTTAGTCATATTTACATGACCTGCAGTGTGACCGAATCAAAACCAGAAGTTAGCTTGTATTCCAAATTGAGTGTTTTGGCGCTTACCATTCTGTGTAGCTATATAAAGTGGAATAAGTCCTTCTTCAGTTTTAGCATTGACGTTTGCACCATGATTGATAAGGATTTCTGCTACTTCCACGGAACCTGAAATGTGAAAATATCAAAAGATTGTGTTTATTTCAACGCAAATCCTAGAAATTTACCTTCTTGCGCGGCTATATGAATTGGGATCCAACCAATACCTTCAGTAGCATTGATGTCGGCACCATGTTCGATGAGGCATTTAGTCATATTAACATGACCTGCAATATGACCGAATCAAAATCGAAAGTTGGTTTGTATTTTGAAGTGGGAGTTTCGGTACTTACTCATCTGTATAGCTAAATCAAGTGGCATAAGCCCTTCTTTAGTTTTGGCACTGATGTCCGCACCATGATTTATAAGGATTTCGGCTACTTCCACATTACCTGTAATATTAACCCAAAAGGATATTTCAATTTTTCTACCAGAAAAAACGCCATCTAACGTCGTGCTCGTAAATTATTTTACTGTACATTTAGATAGTAGAGATTGAACAAAAGTTCGACACTATCCATAAACTTGGAAATCTTGATAAACTTAATAAAATAATATATTTTGTGGTCATTGCTACCGCCCTATGTATTAACCCATTATTACGTTATGGTTCCTAAAGTAACCAAATACGGCAAACGCTATAACCACGAAACCACTGAATATTTTTGCATTCTTGTTTGAAAACAAATGTTGGGAATTGAAATAGCTTTCATTTGATACCTTACTCGTACCAATTTTTGAGTTGTATCGAAAGTTTTCTGTATTCATGTACCAGGGTTGTCAGAGTTGAAATAAATTTATGTGCAATTAATTATTAGTTATTTCGAAAAAAAAATCGAGTATCAATTCGTACTTTATGATGCAATATTTGAACAAATTTTTCAAGAATTGTACATTATTTGGCACGTTGATTTGATTTTAAGCTTAAAAAATCAGGGAATCCAATCAAATATATTGATTTGATTTGATTTGAAAATCCTCAAATAAAAAAATTCAATTAATTTGATTTGAATTCAAATACTTAAGTAGTTTTTAAATCAAACCAAATAAATTGATTTGTGATTTGATAACTTTTCACATCAAATCATCATATTTGATTTAAAATCCAAACATAGGTTGAGCATGGAACATCTTAATCGGCATTAAACGCTTACTTAAACAATGCAATCAAATATGATGATTGCGTTTAATGAGACACAAAAATGACGTCATGCTCAACTTGTGAATCCAAAATTGACGACCCTGTCATGTACTGCTGTAATAAAAATGCGAAATGGTAGCAGAATTACAAATTGTCAAATTATGACTCATAAAACCAAAACACATCAATTTAGCTTTCTGCATCATTAGTTTCATGGAAATTAATTTTTTTCAGGCTGTCACAGCGATTTGACACTTTTAATTTTTATCCGATTTCCTCAATAAATACGCAATTTTTCAAAAATCTTAGTATGAGGTTTTTCTCTATTTATCGTGGCACATAACATACATCAAAATCATTCGGAAATAATAAAAATTGCGCATTAAAGGGTTAATAAATTAACAGATTGTCTTTATTCTAACGCAAAAGTCTAGAAATTTACCATTTTGCGTGGCTATATGAAGTGGCATCCAATTATCTATTTCGGTAGCGTTAACGTCTGCACCATGTTCGATGAGGATTTTAGTCATATTTACATGACCTGCAGTGTGACCAAATCAAAACAAGAAGTTAGTTTGTGCTCTGAAGTAAGAGTTTCGGCACTTACCCTTCCGTGCAGCTGTATAAAGTGGCATAATTCCGTCTTTAGTTTTAGCATTGACGCTGGCACCGTGCTTGATGAGAATTTCTGCTACTTCTACATGACCTGAAATGTTATTAGATCAAAACATTTTCTTCATTTTAAAGCAAAAGTCTAGAACAGACTTCGTCGCGTCAAATTTTAGGAAATTTTGTTGCACGATTTGTATTGATATTTAGTGAAACAAAAATTGTGTAATATTTTTGAAAATTAAATAGTCGAAAATGAAACTTTTTGTGTGCAAATTTTAGTGAATTTTAGTAAATTTGAGTTAAAAATCGGAAAATCTGTGTTCAAATTCTACAAATTGTGTGGGAATCGGAAATTTGACTTGGGATTCCCGAGTAAAGCACCATGTTTAATGGGGAATTTAGTCATATTTACATGGCCTGCAGTGTGACCGAATCAAAACAAAAAGTTAGTTTGTGTTCTTAAGTGAGCGTTTAGACACTTACCCATCTGTGCAGCTATATAAAGTGGTATAATTCCGTCTTTAGTTTTAGCATTGACACTGACACCGTGCTTGATGAGAATTTCTGCTATTTCTGCATGACCTGAAGTGTGAAAATATGAAATGATTGTCTTTATTTTAACGCAAATCCTAGAAATTTACCTTCTTGTGCGGCTATATGAATTGGGATCCAACCGATTTCAGTAGCATTGATGTCGGCACCATGTTCGATGAGGAATTCAGTCATATTTACATGACCTGCAGTGTGACCGAATCAAAACCAGAAGTTAGTTTGTGTTCTGAAGTGAGAGATTCGGCGCTTACCATTCTGTGTAGCTATATGAAGTGGCATAAATCCTTCTTTAGTTTTAGCATTGACATCTGCACCATGCTTGATAAGGATTTCTGCTACTTCTACATGACCTGAAACGTGAACAAATCAAAAAACTGTTTTTAATTTAATGCAAAAGTCTTGAAAGGACGACGATAGCCTTCCGTACATTTGAAACATCATTGTGACGTCTCCATTTTCACCATATGGATTTGCATTTGAGACTTCAAATCTCAATGCAAAAATAGACGGAGAGAGTGGAGATGCCAAAATAATGTAAAAACTATTTTCCTCCTTTACCATAATGTGCGGCTATATGAATTGGCATCTGATTATTAATTTCGGTAGCATTGACTTCTGCACCATGTTCAATGAGGAATTTAGTCATATTTACATGACCTACAATGTGTAATCGAATCAAAATCAAAAGTTAGTTTGTATTTCGAAATGGAAGTTTCAGCGCTTACCATTCCGTGCAGCTATAGAAAGTGGTATAAGTCCTTCTTTAGTTCTAGCATTGACACTGACACCATGCTTGATGAGAATTTCTGCTACTTCTACATGACCTGAAATGTTATTAGATCAAAAGATTTTCTTTGACCTTCATGTGTTGAACCGTACATTTCAAAAGTTTAAAATATTGCTACAGTGCAATTAATATTAAACCTGGAAAAGCAAACATAAGCAATTTGAGAATATCTACCCAACTTTGCAGCCACATGAATTGGACTTAGTCCTTCATCGAATCGTAAACTCATATTCATTCCTTCTTCGATAATAGACTCAATTGTTGATATAGAATCTAAATATGTATAAAGAAAATGTTTAAGCAAAATTAAAAGGTTTTCATAACATTACCAAAAAAAGCTTGAAGTACCGTTTATGATTGCATCTAGCAGCTCATTCACTTTAGACCTAGACATTGACAAATAAATTTGTTTTATTAAATGTGCATGGTTGTTTCATTTTCAATTTGGATCGTTCCTTTGGTTTCATTTTCAGGGTCGCAGAAAAACGTCTTGTGTCGGTATGTTTGTAAATGATTGACCACGCTTAGAGAAATTAGGCTGGTACAATTGCAGATGACGTTTGAAATATGATAGAAAGCAACTTTTTTCTAAACGACGGTCGCGATTTGTCCAACTATTTGGTGATTTTGAAGGCTACATGAAAGTCAGTCCGGCGAAACTGAGTCCAGAATGGTTGTAAACTTCACAACCGCCATATAAAAAAAGTTGCTTTTCGGAATATTCCAAACGTCATCTGCAATTGTACCAAACTAATTTCTCAGGTTTAACTCCCCATATTTTCGAGGGAAAAAAACTTTCCGGCCAGACAATTACCTTCAAAAGTGTATATTTAGGAAATTTTTGATCAAAAGTCGATTTTTTTGGAGCTGAAATCGAACCAACCGAATGTGAGGCTAGAACTATGTGAAAACATCTCTCGACTTGTTTATATAAGCACCCAAAATGTGTGCAAGGAATCATGGACGTGATTTGCTCATTTTGGTTCGAATCGCATTTTTCGAAACTTAAATCATATCAATTTGAATGAATTTTAATCATAGATCGATTCCTCGTCAAAAATAACACAGTCCGACGCATGTTTTTACTTGACACAAGAGCCGGGTCTGGTACCACACGATAATTTACTAGGTCGCCCTGAGTTCAGAATGCGCCATGGTTTGGTATTCTGTGCTCATTGGTGAAAAGTTATTGTGATGTATCTCAGTTGAGCACGGCGATGAAGCTACAACAACAATGACACGTTTTTCCAATGTAAACATAAGACTAGCTCTACTGACACGACGCTTGTGGTGATAGTTGAAGATTTCAATCACATAAGCGTATGCATGGCAAATAATCAAGTAGTCATTCGTGCAAACCGTTTAAATCTTATGCTAGCGTGTCTGTATTTTGTGTATATATCGACTGCTCAACGTGTGTTGTGTGTATGAACACTAGAGGCAGGTCTAATGCTGTCGTGAGTATGGATTTCATTGCCGCGTAGTTGAGAGTCGGAAACAGAAGAAAGTCTTTATTCAACATTCTTACTAGCTAATGTCACAATGGTCATGATGGTTATATGCACTTGGTGCTAGCCCACAATTGTGCAGTCGTTGATTTTAGATGAAAACAAGTTGCATAAAAATCATTTTTAGCTTCAATATTTTGAAAAACTAATGAAAATTCCCAAAAGTTCGTTTCAAGAAAATGAGATATTTTCATAAAATGTAAGGATTCAATATTTGCATGAATGTTTTTTTCCTCAATGTTTTCACTTACCTATCATTCTGCGCATCTTCTGTAGACAATCATGATACGAGAACAAACACAAAAAAACTCAATTAATAATATTAAACAAAGGATGAAGAAAAATGTACAAATCAATAGGCCCTCGAGACAGCATGTATAATCAAATAATAATGAAGAAAATATTTCACTTTGATAAATTTCTTTTTCTTGTTTCCTTTTAAGATTATAATCTTCACTTTGCAACAAATTCAGGGTGATGTAAAATTGACGCAATGTGGCATAATACGTTCGAAAGTATGCGTCGAGATAGGAAAAACCCTAGCTCCGTTTTGCGCCGGTTTAAGAGTAATGTCAGGTTTTGAGCCTATTACTTGCAAATAAGCGTATATCTTTCCGTATTATTTGCTTGGATTTTCATGGTAAAGTCTCTACAGATAATGTGAACTGGTTTTTATGCAAGTTTTCTGTGTTAATATGTACAGTTTTGGTCGAGTTTACTTTTTGTGCGAAAGTATTGAATTATAACTAGGTATACCTGTCAGCAATCCAATGAAAACTGCAACAAACAGCAGCATCACTGCAAACAATTTCACCATTTTTATCCTTCGAAAAACAATTGATCTTGGAATTTTGTATCGAAATTCGGGAAAAAAAATCTACATACAGTCGACTTCCGTTAATTCGAACTTCGCTAATTCGAACTCACGATAATTCGAACCGCCACTTTCATTCGATAATTCGAACCATTTCTCTCTTTAATTCGAACTTCGTTTTTTTCTTGAAATTCTATTATTTTTATGTTCGAAATGCAGTTTGTGAAAGCAAGCGTAACGTGTGAATCATTTCGCCAACGAAATCGACGAATTTGACGACTAAGCAGAAACAATCATCTCACTCCAATCGACAAATGAACCGTTTCAGATAGCATGTTCATTTTTATGTTTACATAAACAAATAATTTTAATGTCGTGTCAAAAATGTTGTTCATTCGTCGCTATGTGAATGCTTCCAACGGATTCCACTGCACACATTTGGAAGTCGATGTAAGGTGTCGTATGAATTAGTTCTATTGATTTCCAGATTTGTGCGTTCACACATTGTCAGAGAATCACATTAGTATGCATTGTTTTCTGTATTTGAATACAAAATCTGAAGAAATGTGCGTTTTGCAATCAGCGATTTGGATCGATGCACCAAATCGATGTCAGTGTGTCATTGGATTCTGCACGTAAAACGTCTCAAAATGGCTCAACCACCGAAAAAAGCCAAAACATCATTGAATTTGAAGCAAAAAGTGGATATACTGTCGAAGTTAGATAAAGGTGTGAATGGCACAAAATTGGCAACGGAATACGGCGTGACCAAGTCCACGATTTCGTACATCAAATCGAAGAAAAGTGAGATTCTATCATCGGTCACAAACACGAATAAAGATGCAGACCTGAAGCGATTGCGTAAACCCGACTTCCCTGAATTGGAAGAGAAATTATACGCATGGTTTCGCGATCAACGAGAGCGGAATTGTCCGGTCAATGGAGTGCTATTAAAAGCAAAGGCAAAAGATTTGTTCCCGAAGTTGTATCCAGATCGAGATGCCGAATCGTTCCAAGCAAGTGATGGTTGGTTTCACAAATTCAAGAAACGTGTCGGCATTCGATTCCTGAAAATTTGCGGTGAGAAACTCGATTGCGATCACGAAGCTGTCCGACCTTTTCTCAATCGATTGAACGCCAAAATTGATGAAATGCAGTTGACAAAGGAGCAAGTGTACAACGCTGACGAAACCGGCTTGTACTATCGATTGTTACCGGAATACACCTATGTGTCTGAGGATGAAAAAGTAGCAGCGGGACACAAAAAGGCGAAAGAACGAGTTTCAATTTTGTTATGTTCAAATGCCACGGGAACGCATAAAGTAAAGCCATTGGTGATCGGAAAGGCGCGCAAACCTCGATGCTTCAAAGGCTTCAAGAATCCACTCGATTACGACAACTCGAAAAGTGCATGGATGACACTGCCCATTTTCACACATTGGTTCAACACATGTTTTGTGAAGCAGGTCAGTACCTTTCGTTTTTATTCGGCTCAGTTTACACTCAAATGCATTGTGCAATAGTAAATGCAATAAGTGTGATGCACATTGAAAACATTTTTTAGGTACGCATATTTTGCAACGAGAACAATTTGCCGAAACAAGCTATTTTGCTTGTGGACAACTGCACAGCCCATGGATCATCAATTGAGCCGCTTCAAAGTGACGATCAACAAATCATTTGTTACTTTTTGCCGCCAAATGTGACTGCAATTTTGCAACCGATGGACCAGGGTCCAATCAAAATCACAAAATTGAAGTATCGCAACTTGTTGCTGTGCAAAATTATCAGTGAATTGGAGACATTCGATGGAACCATTGTTGATTTATTGAAAAAACACACCATCAAAGACGCGATTGTTTTCCTGAAAAAGGCTTGGGATGAAATTTCAAATTCTGTTCTGGTGACGTCGTGGAATAACGTATTGCGATACGATGACGACGAATTCGAACCAGAAGATTCGTTGCCGCTCTCTGAGCTGGTGGCATATTCATCGCTAATTCAAGAAACACAAGCACGTTTGAAACAGCTCAATGCAAATGTCAGCATCACCGATGCCGAAATTGAACAGTGGAACAACGACATAATGAATGAGAGTGAGGTCGATCATACTGTAACTTCAGGCGAACAAGACATTGACGACGACGATGATGATGAAGAAAGCGATTGCGTTGCTGTTTCCGAGCCAAAAGTAACACACAGCGCTGCATTAGACTGTGTTAATCAGTTGTTGAAGTGGTGCAACGAAAACCAGTCGAACAAATACGTAACGGAACTGTTGGATTTGCGTACCGAAGTTGTTGACGCAGCAAAACAAATGCCAAAAAAACAAACCCTCATGCGCGATTATTTTGCAAACACATCAAACACTTAATTCATGAAATATAAATTTGCTTCAATTATTGCAATTTGTATTGTTATTGATATGAAATGATTCTGAAATAAAATTATGAATACATTATGAAAAAAATCGAGAGTAACCCTCTTTTATTGCTTGTGTAGGTCTCTTGCTTTGAAAATGACAATTTTATGTGGCAATTAAATAATGAGATTCCAGGGATTTGTTTATTTGCGTGAATTTTACGTTTTAGAAATGAAAAATAAAGAAATTTGAACTACTCGCGATAATTCGAACTTTCGATATTTTGAACAATGCCAATCCCCGACGTGTTCGAATTAACGAAAGTCGACTGTAATACGAAACTTTACTACTTTTCCGTACACACCGCGTCAAGGGAAAGTACGACCATTCCATACGAAATCACGGAAAATCTGTATTTGATGTCGCAGATCGACCCGGGACTGGGTCCATTGTTGGGGGAACCATCACATTTCCTAACAAAGCCGGAATATTTTTGCTTATATTGGGTGTCCTCAGGGAGATATAGGAGCCCAAAGTTGAGCAGATCGTGAAAAAATCGATTTTTTGGACAGCTGTATCTCTGCTTGGCGTTAGAATTTCGATATGATTTTTTCAGGGTTTGTACAACTTGACGAGCTCTATCGATTGGGTGTATTAGCATCTGGGTGGATCCACCATACCAGAAATCGGTTCCAAAGTTTGGATCAGTGCTAGCCACCCGCCGCCAGGGTCTTTTATAAATTTTTTTTCGTTTTTTTTACCGGATTTCAAGAGCCCTACACGATGGTATTGTCGGCCAAAATAGGCCGGTACCAAAATTTGCATGTTTTTTTTAATACAAATGAGAGATCGGACAGAATTTCCACGTTTTTTGTCGATTTTTAGACCAGATACGATACCCAGACCAGCATAAAAATTAATTTTACGTCGAAATAATAGGGACACCTCCACACCAGAACACATGGTTTAGTTCATTTTCCATGTGAAAATATCATTTGAAAGTGAACAGTGCCGAAATGTCTTCGAATGATCGAATTGTGCATACAAAATCGCTTATATGACACACTAAACTCACTTCCAACGACTTATGGCTGGTTCATATCCACCTAATTTTCGACGAGCAATCGATTTTGAGCACCACTGATGCAATCCGATCAGCCTAGGGTATCGAAAAATGCCTTTGTTTCGACCAATGTTTTCAACTCGCAATATTTCATAGTGAAAATTTCAATTTTTTACCAAAATATGCATTTTTTGATGTTTCTATCATAAAAATAATGAGGTTTACGAACAAAAGAACATTATTTTGTTTATCATTTTGCTTTTAAGAGGGCATTTTTATGCGAAAACTCCTTTAAAATTCACATTTTGGTCCGAATACACCGAATATGTATTTTGTTGGATACATTGTGACTTTTCAAGTGGATTCCGTTTCAATTGAATTGGTTTGAATGTTATGTTACATGCGTGATCAATATTAAAATACAGCAATTTAAAACCAATCAACAGATTGTTATGTTTATTGAAAATTTTGGTTTTTTTACATCGCTAAATGAATACAAATATTTGTTTTTATAATATTTTATTTTGAAAAAAACTGAGTTAAATTCAGACTTGAAATGATTCTTTAAGAAGTCATATTGTTTTGAAATGAATATGATTATTATTTTTTCAATATTGAAACGGTTTCAAAAACGTCGCTAGCGGAATAACGACGAACATCGATAACACCTTCAGCAACTGGCTTGAATGAATGGTACGACTGAGTTCCAACCAACGTTTTGATGTTCTCGTAACGATTTCCATTTTCATGTTCCTGAAAAAAACGAAGAATCGAAAGTTGTCTACATGTACTGCTCAAACGAAGACTACGAGGAGACATTACAGGAACATGAAAATGGAAATCGTTACGAGAACATCAAAACGTTGGTTGGAACTCAGTCGTACCATTCATTCAAGCCAGTTGCTGAAGGTGTTATCGATGTTCGTCGTTATTCCGCTAGCGACGTTTTTGAAACCGTTTCAATATTGAAAAAATAATAATCATATTCATTTCAAAACAATATGACTTCTTAAAGAATCATTTCAAGTCTGAATTTAACTCAGTTTTTTTCAAAATAAAATATTATAAAAACAAATATTTGTATTCATTTAGCGATGTAAAAAAACCAAAATTTTCAATAAACATAACAATCTGTTGATTGGTTTTAAATTGCTGTATTTTAATATTGATCACGCATGTAACATAACATTCAAACCAATTCAATTGAAACGGAATCCACTTGAAAAGTCACAATGTATCCAACAAAATACATATTCGGTGTATTCGGACCAAAATGTGAATTTTAAAGGAGTTTTCGCATAAAAATGCCCTCTTAAAAGCAAAATGATAAACAAAATAATGTTCTTTTGTTCGTAAACCTCATTATTTTTATGATAGAAACATCAAAAAATGCATATTTTGGTAAAAAATTGAAATTTTCACTATGAAATATTGCGAGTTGAAAACATTGGTCGAAACAAAGGCATTTTTCGATACCCTAGGCTGATCGGATTGCATCAGTGGTGCTCAAAATCGATTGCTCGTCGAAAATTAGGTGGATATGAACCAGCCATAAGTCGTTGGAAGTGAGTTTAGTGTGTCATATAAGCGATTTTGTATGCACAATTCGATCATTCGAAGACATTTCGGCACTGTTCACTTTCAAATGATATTTTCACATGGAAAATGAACTAAACCATGTGTTCTGGTGTGGAGGTGTCCCTATTATTTCGACGTAAAATTAATTTTTATGCTGGTCTGGGTATCGTATCTGGTCTAAAAATCGACAAAAAACGTGGAAATTCTGTCCGATCTCTCATTTGTATTAAGAAAAACATGCAAATTTTGGTACCGGCCTATTTTGGCCGACAATACCATCGTGTAGGGCTCTTGAAATCCGGTAAAAAAAACGAAAAAAAATTTATAAAAGACCCTGGCGGCGGGTGGCTAGCACTGATCCAAACTTTGGAACCGATTTCTGGTATGGTGGATCCACCCAGATGCTAATACACCCAATCGATAGAGCTCGTCAAGTTGTACAAACCCTGAAAAAATCATATCGAAATTCTAACGCCAAGCAGAGATACAGCTGTCCAAAAAATCGATTTTTTCACGATCTGCTCAACTTTGGGCTCCTATATCTCCCTGAGGACACCCAATATAAGCAAAAATATTCCGGCTTTGTTAGGAAATGTGATGGTTCCCCCAACAATGGACCCAGTCCCGGGTCGATCTGCGACATCAAATACAGATTTTCCGTGATTTCGTATGGAATGGTCGAGTATAGGAATTGGTCCCGAAAACTTTTTTCGCAAAATTGGTTTAGATCATCATAAAAACTCATGACTTTAACTTAACGTATTCTATCCGTATGCTTTGCATGCGGTTCACGCTGAAAATATGCCTTAAATATACCTTCGACTCTGTATTAAACTATGTATAAAATAAGCGTAAGCGTGAAAATGGTATAAACGTAGCGTGCGCAGGGAATACACGCGGTATATTTGTAGCGTAGTTTTTTTATTGAGTAGGAATCGATTTACGAGTACCTCCCATACATAATTGTCGAAGTTTTGACTAAAGTGACCGATTTTTCAAGAATATTTAAAAAAATCCAAAAATACGGAAAACGGTACGGAAAAGTTTGGGATTACGAATGTAATTCTTTTTATTATTTATTAAATTCTGAAAGTGTTTTTAAAATAATTTCCGTAGAATATTAGGGATGTCCGATTTTACAATTTGAATCTGGCGTTGAAGGTAAGTATGGAATGGCTTAAAATGAGATTTCCATGACTTTTAGTCATACCACACAATTGTGACCCTTGGAAAGTGATAAATGACAAATAACGGGGTCGATACTATATTTCGACTGCCAAAAATTGTTACAAAATCATCCTGCGCCATGTCGGGTCTGTTATTAGATTTAAGAAATTACGAATCGCTCGTTGCAATTTCTACTTAATTCGAACTCTCTGATTTAATAAGTGTAAATGAGTTGAGTGTGTTTCAATATTTAAATAATAGTAACGCTGATCAAACCTTGGAATCGACTAACTGAAAGTGAAATAGAGATTGAAATTATAACGCACAACTAATTTAACGAGACACCTTGGAGAAACTAACATGTTCCGCTGACACAAATCACTTTCAACTTCGTACTGAAACGAAATGGGATTACAATTCTATTTATAAATAAGCCTTATAATTCGCCTACGCTGTTCTTATCGAGTTTTGTTTTTATCGAGAAATTTTTTTCCACTTCCCGTTTATGAAAACCGTGCTGGTTCCTAATTATCACTACATGAAATTTAGCGTTATTCGATTTTTTTGTTTTTTTAATGTTAAGACACGTTATTTCCTGAACGCTTCAGCCGATTTCGTTCAAATTTTGGCTGTAGATCTCTTTTGGCCTGCCGTTGTGTGTACTGTATATTCGTGGTGCGAGGTCGTGGTAGACCGAAAATCGGGTTTTCAGGCTGAAATGTAGAGTTTATGCCTTGACCGTTTTTGCTCAAATTTTGAATACACGATATAGGCAAAGCATATTCAATGCAATGTGCCAAGGCATGCAAATGCGGTTCTCTGAACGAAATATCTTGTGGCCCTATTTCAAAAAAAAGAAAAATTGTCTTGGTCTCACATCCGGAATATTGTGACTAGGGTTTACAAACGTTTCGACAAATACCGCAAACGGTGTTATAAAAACGTTATTTTTCTGTAGTGTTTTTTTTGACAGTCCAAAATACCGCAGAAATAACGATAAAAAACGAAAAAAACGTTTTTTGGGCGGTATATAACGGCTCTGTAAAAAAACGTTTTTAAGAAACACTGAAAAAAATAACGCGTTTTTAAACCCTAATTGTGACTTGTCAACACTCGAAATATTTTTGTTTTTATTTGTAAATTGATATGACCACTGAGTTATGTTTCGAATGCCTATTTACGCAGCATAAATGTTTATCAAACATACACAAAGCAGGAAGTTCCAATAACTCGTTTCCCGGAAATTTCTCCAGCTCTGTATATCGCAAAGTTAAAAACCTCATGAAATATGACTCGGAGAAATTATTCTGCACCTCAGAATTGTAGTTTTTTCAACGCAGTATTCGTAATGATTTAATGAAAGTCACATAATGATTTTTGTTAAAGTGGTTTCTTTGTTTGAATGGCCATGAAAAAAGTAGGATTCTGTTTGCGCCCCAAATTTAAGACATAATGGAAAAAGCAAATAATTTTTATTCATATTTTCAACGCTTGATTCAAATGAATGATAGCGTAATTTTGTTTGTATGAGCTCAGTGGCTATTTCATGTACATGAACTTCGTCAAGCAATTATTTTTTTCGTGTCAAAAGAATCCTCAATGCTGTCACTAAGTTTGGATACAGTTCAAGCGTTGAATGCTTGATGATGAATGATTTAAAATTGATAGTGGACTGAAATCATCGATAAAAGAAACTTGATTGAAGATTTGAATTCTATGATAAAGATCTTCGCCATTGATATTCCTTAGCTCTTCTTCTTTTGTGCTCTCATCCATTGCTATTAATATTTTTTTCCAACAGCTGACAATTTTCTTTTTGACACGGCTTTGATATATCGCACAAAAAAGCGAAAAATTAACCACGAAAGTATTGACAACAGAATTAAATATTTTATATGTAGACAGACGAAATTATTATTGCATGTGGTCAGTATTTGACGAAATAAATAAATGAATAAACCAAAAAATTTGCTCAAAAATTGATATACTTTAAAGCGATCATCAAGCGAATTTAAGGCAACATCAATTATGTAAAAATGGAAATCATCCTTATATGAGGGGTTTGGAGTGAAAATGTCATACAGAAAAGTTGAGAGGAAAAATGTCAAATGAAAAGAGGTAGCTAACTATACTATAGTTTACTATACAGTTTACTATATAGCTATCCCTTTTCCGCTCATTCATCATCGACAAATCAAATGGTAAGCAAATTCAACTGTAATCGTTTCGGCTTATAAACAAATATAATGAATCTTTGAAGTTTGTGTGACTTTCTTGAAAAAATTCTTGCAGTTTTTGCAAGTGACTCGAACACGAATTAAAATCCATTGCTGTTGATTAGAGTACCTATGAAATAACATTTATCTTGCTCAAAATCTTGTTCCAAACAACAGCTGAAAGCACAAATTTGAATTTGAAAATCCATTGACCAAGCACATTTGCTCCAAATTTTGTTTTGCTGTTGTAGTCAGGACTTTAGCAGCACCGAAAATTGACATGCATAATCATGTGTCGTTATTTTACTTGGTGTTCTTCGAATCAGCACAAATATTTTGAATATGTTTGTATAGTTATAAGAATTTAAACTGTATTGCGGAACTGTTTTCGTGATTCGCAGTATTGAATATCTATAGTATTTTATTGCTTTTTTTTGCTTTTATATCTTTTAATATTTCTTCAATTTGGAATTTGGCCGCCCCAGACATTCTACCGCACCGTGCAAATGCACTCCTTGCACGTGCCCAAATCCGGCACCGACTAACGCCACTTGGATATTCTGTGTAACTATAATTATATCGATGATTCATCTGGTTGCTGGTGAATTTCAATAATTTCATTAAATTCGAGCGCTGATCCGGATGGTGCAGATGGTGCTTGAAAATCGGGTGTTCCCATTAGGGCTATATAATCGGTCTTCCCACCCTCATACCTCTCCACGTTTGCTTTTAAATACGGTTCGTTTAAATTCACAAATCGCTCTGCAACACTGGGATCCAAAAATTTAGAGAAGCTTTTCCCAAGCTCATCGAATGATGGACGCAATTCATAATTGACACGCCAACATGCTAACATAATGTCATATCTATGAAAAACGAAACTTCAGTGGTCAAAATCGATGGTGAATATGGTCAAAATTAGTTGTTTCTTACATGTCTTGAGTGGCAAAGTCTGGCTTCTCCATTCTGTAACCGTCCAGTAATTTTTGGTACAAATCTTGGCCTGACAAGCCAGGATATGGTGTCGCTCCAAGCGAAAATAACTCCCAAAGCACAACTCCGAAAGCCCAAACGTCAGTGTGAGTACTGAATACATGGTCCTTGATAGATTCAAGAGCCAACCATTTAAATGGGAGCATCGCCTACAAATCAGGAAATATATTAGACAATTTATATAGCGTACTTTGTATCACACGTACATGTTTGGACCCTTGATTACATTTTTTTTATACTTTATCTTACCTCTTTATTTTTACGGTAAACGTCAGTTTTGTACAACGATCGAGCCAAACCGAAGTCACAGATTTTAATCACGTTATTGTCGCTCAAAAGAATGTTTCTTGCTGCTAAGTCACCATGCAACACTTTGCATGATGCCAAATAATGCATTCCACGGGAAATTTGAAATGACCAGCAAAGTAAATCGGTCGTTGTAACTTGGGGTATCGATTCAGAATCAATTAGATTGCTGGATGTGCCAACATCATCTGAAAAGTTAATGGGAAAGCATGGAAGCATACTTGAAAACATGCGTGAAATGGACATTTACGTGAAGCTTCACCTGATGAGCGATGTACACTATTCGAATATCGAACATATAATGAATTGACAATCAATTGTTGATCCCCATTATTTGAGTCTCCAACGTATAATGAATTAATCACCGATTGGTAATCTGTTTGATAACTACGTACAAAATATTTATATTTTAATTTATACAACATGTGTTTAAATTTAACAATTATAATGAAATTACTTGTCATTGCTGACTCCACTGTTTTCTACGTTTGGTTTTGTTGCATTTGTGCTCGAAATAATTGTATCCGTCTCACGATCAATCTGATCGACGAATGACGATTGGCTTTTGATTAGGACATTTTGCAGGCAACCATATCGACAGTATTCAACAATGATCATCATATCGTCTGAAACGACAAGGGCAATAATCATGTTTATTTCGGAGAAATTGTGATGAAAATTTGACATTTTCAATTTTCTTACATCGTGTAATATTCGTCGTGACTGCCCCAAGTAAGTTTACTAAATTCAAATGTTGGCCCAAGTGAACCATAATCTTCAATTCCAAAATCAGAGCACGCATTATCTATTCATGATAAATAAATGAAAATAATATTCGTTTATGGGTCTCCGAAGTGTTCTACGAACCTCATCATTTGACATTCTTTTGACCATTTTGACGGCCACTTTTGTCTTTTCCTCATTGGGTAAAATGCCATGTGCAATGCCCTCATAAACAACACAAGTAGTAATCGAAATCGTCAAAACCAAAATCAATGCGACAGCACCAACGATAATA